TGCACCTATAATCCTAACACTGGTGAGGTTGTGGCAGGCAGATCACAGGTTCAAGGCCAGCCTAAGCTACATAGTGAGACCCTGTCTCAAGGAAACAAAACTAAACATTATTATGCTCTTAATGTATGTGTCAGGTGTCATTCTGTGACACGCTTTCTTCACAGGGACTAATTGCCCACAGTTATCTTTCATTCATAAATAATTTGCCCCCAGTCCTAGGTTTCCTGGCCACCTGCCTATCAGCTCCATTCCTAGCCTTCCTTGGATGTGGGTGTGGCCATGTGTCTGAATTCTGACCAATAGAATGTGAGTGAAAGTGATTATGCCATTTCCAGGTCATCTGTGTAAAAGGAATGCCTTTTACTAATCACAATGCAAATGTGATGACAGGAGCCAGTGTAGACGCCACCTAGAGGCTCAGAGATGAAGCCACAGGACAGAAACAATGCGCCTGCTTTGGACTATCTTTGTGAGAGTAAAATTAAAAACTGTTTTATTTAATCACCAGATTGGGGGGGGTGTGCTTTGGCCATATTCTGTATAATATTTCATGTCACTACCTTTATTCCTCTTTACCAGTACATATTTATGTCTTTATGTCAAATTTATTTCTCATAGCCACATTTCACAACTATACTGTTAACAAATAGATCGACTAATCTTCCCAGTTAGCTGATGTGCTCATTTACTTTTGTGTGTGTAATGTTTCAGGCGATGCCACCACCACTGAATGAACCTCAGGCTGCCTAGAATTCTGGGGTCACATTCTTTTCTCCTCAACATTCTTTCTCCACTGTTGCACTGTCTTGTGTCATCTAAAAGTGCTGAGAAGTCCGAGGCCATCCTACCTTTGCTTCGTGGGGCGCCGGTTCACCTCTCTGGATGTTTGCAGTAGGGGGCTTCTCTTCTTATCCCAGTAATTCAGAGTTCCTCAAAAGCCATTCTTGCCTCTCCGGTATATTTACCCAGTATCCTTGGCATATGGTAAGTCCTGTTGTGTTGCCGTATCGAGTAGGTTTTGTTTAGTTTCAGAAATAACTTTTTGTTGCTCCTATTTTTGTCTACTTTCGCATTCATTTTTCTCTTCAAAGTAGTGTTAGCCATGCTGGGTCGACATACTGTCACACTAAGTGATGTTCCTCTCATCCTGTGTCTCTTCAACCCTCCTGTGGCCGTCTGAGGGATGTTTGAAAGTCTGTCATCCGTATTAACAACTCATTTTTCTTTCACTTCAGCTTCTGATGTGACTTTGAGAACTTCAGTTTTCCTTTCTTCTTTTTCTGCCTTTTCTCTTCCCATCTCATTCTGGTTCTATTATTATTGTTGTTGTTGTTATTTCGGGTTTTTGAGACAGAGTTTCTCTGTGTAAAAGTCCTGGCTGTCCTGGAACCCGCTCTATAGACCAGGCTGGCCTTGAACTCTCAGAGATCCTCCTGCCTCTGCCTCCCAAATTCAGTATCCTAAGAAAGAGACTTTACTAGATAAAAATAGAGGAAGGGGAAAGGTGAACTCTTGGGTTGGATACTGATTTTGATAAGCCAGGTGAAACGGTCATTTTAGTTGCTTTGGGAAAGTGCAACGTACCTTCAGGTGAGATAAGATGAAAATACATGATCACAAACATAGTGTTGACGAAATGAAACAAGTGATTTTAAAAAAAAAAAAAAAGTTTGGGAAACTATAATAGAGTATGAAATCAGTAGTGGTAGATATGCAGGAGCCAGAGCGCAGAGAATCAAAAGTTCAAGATCATCCTCAACGGAGTGAGTTCAAGCTGGTCTGAGTACCTAAGACTTTATTTCAAACCAAAACCAAAACCCCAATACAGCATTTTAGTTTTACACAAATCTATACTCACACACACGGTACATAGTTGTTATAATGTTCTTTAAAAATTGGCATATTGGCATATTCTGGGTTTTTTTTTTTTTTTTTTTTTTTTTTTTTTTTTGGTCTGAGGACTGGAGATGTAATTTAGTAATAGAGCATTTACCTATCATTTTCAAGGACCTGAATTCAATTCCCAATACCACACTTGCACACTTACGCGCTCACACATACACATGAAGAGCTTTGTATTTTCTAATCTACAGAGCCTATGTACTACTTGTGAAAGAAAGGATGTTTTAAATTGTGACAGGTTTAAAGGGAACAGGCTAACCCCAATATAATGATGCTTAAGTTAGTTCCTTATTCTCATTGACACGTTGGGACCTCTAGGCATGTACACACACACACACACACACACACACACACACACACACACGAGAGCTAGACGTATCTTACTTCTGTAATCTCAGAACTTGGGAAACTGAGGCAGAAAGACTGTCAAATGTGCAAGCTCGGTTTGCTACATGAGTTCCAGGGCAACCTGGCTAGAGTATAATCTTGTCTGAAAATTGTTCAAATAATCTTTTGTGTACTGAAAATGAAACCCAAGCATCACATCTGTTAGGAGAATTATTCACTGGGAGTCATACCTACCAGCCTGGGGTGATTTTGTGTCATACTTTTGTATGGAGGAGGGAGTTACTTTATCTCTTAAAATCCAGGTATCTTTTTTATAGTTAAAATAATAATACAAACAGTAGATACCATCTTAAACTTTTTTGGCACAGCATGGTAAATTTACTCATATCCACAGTGCTGCAGCCATCAACCATCATCCCTCTCCAGAAGTGGCTCACTTGCAATGTACCCTAAACAGAAATTCTGTACCTGATAAATATTAACTCCATGCTCCTCTCTATACGACCTTAAAACACTCTTTCAGGGCTTGGTGACACACGCCTTTAATCCCAGCACTTGGAAGGTGGAGGCAGGTAGATCTTTGTGAATTTGAGGTCAACCTGGTCTACAAAGTAAGTTCCAGGACAGCCAGGGCTACTTAGTGAGACTTTGTCTTGAAACAAAAGGAAAGAAATTAGAAAGGAAGGCAGGCAGAGCAGAGCAGACAGAAAGAGGAAGACAGAAAGAGCAGACAGAAAGGAGGACAGAAAGGAGGAAGAGAAAACTTTACATAGCATGCCGTAAGCGGCACAAAGCCTGGGTTTAGCGCTGACTGACACGCAGAAATTCTGGTTATTTTGAACATGTCCCTCCAGAAGTCACCACAGCTACAACATCAAATATTCAAATGGTGACTGTGGTAACAGTAACACCACCTAACGCAGGAACACAGAAGCAATGTTTCCTGATGTTGAAGGAAACAGTTACACTCTCCAGAAGCCATAAGTTTGTCACACTAAGGTTCAGATGCCCTGCAAATTAACTTCATTTTCCTTATCACCTAGAACTATTGATAAATAGCACCATCATTTACTGTAAAATTGTTCCTGAAGATGAACAAGAGTTTTATGTTGGTAGCATCAGCCAGTTTTAGGTTTGACTATATCTAATTTTAAAAATCCAAATTTGGGTTGTGGAGATGGTTTGGTTTGCTGCAAGGTCTCAGTCCCTGGGCCCCACGGTGATGGGAGAGCAGGCTATCTCCAACCTTCACAGGTGTGCTACAGCACCCCATAGATACACCCACATACAAAATAGTAAGTACATGTAAAAAAATCCGAATTTGTTTTTTCTCATAAATAATAATTCACGATTCAGGATTGGAATGGAAGTTTTATCCCAGTGTGTGTGTGTGTGTGTGTGTGTGTGTGTGTGTGTGTGGCGGGGGGAGGGGGGAGGAAGGGAGATGGGAATGGGGGTAAAGAAGAGAGATGTCTTCTCCCTAAAATAATTCCTCACAGAAATTTTACTTGAGCTTATGTGTCTTTCAGTAGATCAGTCACATAGCCTTACCTAGTTGCAAGGAAAGCCACACAATGTTCTCTCTATTCCAGATGTCCAAGTAAATGCCAGTAATTCCATACTACAGAACTGGACATCAACTATATATATATATATATATATATATATATATATATATATATATTATGTCTAAAAGAATTTTTCTTAAATCCAGGCTATTTCTTTGGTCTCTCTTTCTTTGTTCCTTTTCATAATTGTAAACAATGTTGTATTTAACAGAAAGAAGTGGAAGAAATATCGGGGTATGTTTCACGGTGTCAGAAGCTAGCAGGGACTAGGAGTAGATACACACCTTGAAACATCACTTATACAATTGTTCAGCCAAAAAGTGTTGTCATAATTTACTTTCTAGACCAGTGCTAAATTCTCCTTCCACTGAAGGTCAAGGGACACCACAGAAGCCGGCTTAGTGTCCTAGATGGAAAAGAACAAAGTCAGCTTTGCAGTTGAGTCTGGGATGTCTCCGTGGGTACATTTACACAGCTCTGTATGTAGCTCAGCAGGCTGTGCTGTGGTTAAGTGCTAACTGAAAAGGAACAGCTTATTAACAGCCATCACTTTTGTACCATGTTTTCAGTTTCCAAGGGAACGCAAACCACAGGGTGTGGTCTATGACCCCATCCTTAGAGAATCTTAATTGGAGGAGGGCATTTCCCCCACATAGTAAGCAAAAGAAAAAGTTATGTGAGTTGGACATCTCATTGCTACCCAGGGAGTTGTAACAGGTGGTTGGGGGTGGGGGTAGGGGTAGCCTTGAGGCCAGGGAAGGGCTGATGGAACCAGACCAGGAGAGTCTCATGATGCTCAGCCTCTTTCTGACTTTATGATGAAATACGGGAATAATATCTAGGCCTGTCCCTTGTATATCTGGTTGCCAAACCATTTTTCTAAAATTATCACATTTGACCTTGATGGTGACACATCAACAAATCCTAGAATTTTGTTCAAGTTAGAATATTATTTGTCCTTAAATTGACTTTGGATGGTTGTCAGCCTGCTTAGTGCTTTGACTCACCCCAGGCTCAGGATTCAGATGGTTTCTCCTCCTCTGACTCTTGGGGAGGTACCCTGAGATGAGGATTCGGTGCCGTCCCTCCCACCGGTACCCTCCCACAGTCAGCCTCATCATAAGACACTAATTACTTCTCCTGCTCCTTCAGTTTTGACTTCCTAAGGGGAAGAAATCCTGCAGCTGCCACCAGCCAGCCGTAGCAGGCGGAGAGCAGGTACCAACAGCTCCCCTGGAAGCAGAAATGGTTCTTGGACGTAAGTCAGGGTACAGGGGTGGGAGGTGAGCTCACGTCATGCTAAGCAGGGGGTGGGAGGTGAGCTGATGTCATACTAAGCCAAGACGTGTGGGGGGCAGGGGTGGTGGATTATGTCATGTGAGGCTCTGAAAATTAGTTCTGAAGAGACATCACCTCTTCACATTGTTTAGGATAATTTGCACTAAAAGAGCAAGATGGCTCAGCAGATAAAGGCATGTACCTAACCACCAAGCCTGATGGCCTGAGTTTGATCCATAGAGCCTGTATGGTGGGAGAATTGATTTCCATAAGTTGTTTTCTACGATGCTCTAACTCCTGTGTGTACACACATACACCAATCAATCAATCAATCAATCAAATGTAAAGAGGGGAGCTTGAACCTCATGCTGCAGGCCTGTGTAGCTGCAGGCCGAGGCAGAAATATGGCAAGTTCAAGTCCTGGATGAGCTGGGGATATAGCTTGGTGGTAGGGCAGCTCCTACAGAATGTATTGGGGGTCTGGTGGTTCAATCCCCAGTCTTACACACACACACACACACACACCACATACACACCACACACACCACACATACACACACACACCACACACACACACACCACACACATACACACACACCACACACACACACCACACACACACACACCACACACATACACACACACACCACACACACACACACACACCACATACACACCACACACACACACACACACATATACACACACACACCACATACACACCACACACACACACACACACACATATACACACACACACACCACATACACACCACACACACCACACATACACACACACACCACACACACACACACACCACACACATACACACACACACCACACACACACCACACACACACACACACACACCACACACACACCACACACACACCACACACCACACACACACACACACCACACACATACACACACACACACACCACACACACACCACACACACACACACACACACACACACTAAACAAGAGAAGGTTGAAAGTGAGAATCAGGAAGGGCCTTCCTCCTCGGGCAGTAGCAGGAACTTCCTGCCGGCCTCAGGCTTTCCCAGCAAGTTCTGTGACTGTTCCACATAGACCCCAGAGAAGGACTTGGGATGTCCTGAGTGAACAACACTGGCTCAGGGGGAAATGGGAGGCTCCCCTGCTTCCCTGTCTTGCAGGCTTGCTGTGGTTTTTCATGATGTCATCCATTCATCATTGTGAGCTGACTGGCTGCCCCCCAGGCCCTGGCCAGCTGCCCATGGTCAGAAGGGAAGAAACAGACCCCAGGACAACTGTGCAGAGGGCCCCTGAGCATGTACAGACATGATGACATCAGTTCCACCTAGAAAGCCTTGGTGGAATTCGAAGAAGGCTGTAAAAGTTATAAGATCTTATCCAACCTTCCCTTCCTTGAACGCCTGGGAAAAATTCAGGGGCCTCTTGCCTGTGGATGGGGAGCCGAACCCTGGAGTGGGCCTGGGCGTGGAGGGAGGACTGCTCTGCCAGATGGTTCATTCTCCAGAATTCAACCTGTTTCCGAACTCCGTGGTGTTTGAGAGCAACTTTGTCCAGGTACTCTTGGGTGCCTCCGAGCAGCAAGCACTCCCTGTCCCAAGATGGGACCAAAAGAGTTATCCTTAGAACCGCAGAGGAAGATAAACTGAGGCAGGAAAGCTAGAGGGCCTGAGACACAAGGCTGACCGGGGTTTCTTCGGTAAGTGTACACCCAACAAGGATGGTCAGGCATCCTGTGCTCAGTGGAGGATTAGGCGCTGGAACCCCTAATTTATGCCACTTTCGGACCTGTTACCTGACACCAAGTTGAGGCAGTGAAAGGAGATGGCCTTTGTGGACTAGAACAGAAGTACTGGTTGACAAAAAATAGGACCTTCGGACTCAGAGAAACCAGTCTCTGATTCCTAGTGGGGAGGGGTCATTGTACATGCTACCTGTACAAGTCCATTTAGACACAGCAAGAAAGTACACGGTCTAGGGGGTACTCTGTGTGCTTTTATCGCCTTGCCTGGGCTCCCCTTGGGCCAGACAGAACCTAAAATAAATGGAAGGACCATGAAGACCAAATGTTTTCAAAGCAAAGCCAGGAAGCTGTTGAGGGAGGATCCATAGACATGAAGTAGAGGCTGGGTCATTGCTGCTCTTGTGTTAATAGTAGGTCCTTTAAGTACTGTTAGAGAAATCTGCATGGCAGCTCATGCCTGTAATCCCAGCACTCTGGAGGTTGAGGTAGGAGGATACCCTTGAGAAGGAGTCTAGCCTGGGCTATAGAGTAAGACCCTGTTTTGTTTCATTTTGCTTGTTTAAATAGCCAAAGAAATTTAAAAACAAAAAAAACACCCGTAAGCCCCACTGGAGTTTTTAAAACCGATACAGGTTAAAATGGTTGTCAAAAAGCAGTAGTCAAGCCCTCGTTTCCAAGGAACATGTGGCAAAATCTGAGAACATTTCAGTTGTCAGAATTTAGGTGGGAGTTTGCTATGGGCATGTAGGGGACAGAGGCCAAGGGCACTGTTAAATACTCCACAACCCAGCATAGCCTCCCCCCCACAGAGAAGCTAAGTGGCTATCATAGAATGCTGGCACAGTGTTCTAATCCCAGCACTTAGGAGGCAGAGGCAGACAGATCTTTGTCCTCTGGTTCTCATCTACTTAGCAAGTCCTAGACCATAAAGAGCTATCAAGAGAAAAAAAAAAAAAGATTAGTTCTGAGTGAAGAAACTTTGCTAAAACATCTTGGGGCTTTTGCCAAATGCTCAGGCTGGGCCTGGGGGCTGCATTGCAGGTCAGAAGGAGCAGACATTGGAAAAAAATCTACAAAGCCTCTAACACAATGGCCCTTGGGGTGACCTCCTCTGTGCCTTGCCTACCCCTTCCCAACATCCTCCTTATGGCCAGAGTCAAATGGCATCACGGGCAGAGCCAGACATGGAACAGACCATCCACAGCCCCGAGCATCATCCTGAAGAGGTAAGCAACACAGATGGGAGCGAGGGAGGGATGAGGGGGCAAAGGGCAGGCCGAGGTGGAAGCTGCCTGATACTAAGCGAGGCGGGGAGGGACTGAGAAGCCTTTGCAGTGACCTTAATTGAAAATTTTTTTTAAACAAAGTCCTTATAGCCCAGGCTAGCCACGAACCCACTATTCAGTCAAGGCTGTCCTTGAACTCTTGATGTACCTGCCTCCTCCTCCTGAGTGCCTGGGTTCTAAACATGCACTGTGGTGCTCAGCTTCTAACTGCTCTAGATTGTAGTAACTCTGAGAGAAGTGGGGAGGGGGAGGGCTGGGGGCTAGGGAGTTAGTTCAATCAGTAAAGAGAGGAAGAGGAAGAGGAAGAGGAAGAAAGGGTGTAGTGGTACACATGTGTAATCCCAGCACTGTGAGGTATCGATGGTGGATCCTTAGCATTTGCTGGCCACCCAACTAGCCTAACCAATAAGCTCCAGGGTTAGTAATTGGATAACAAGTTGGATAACACTCAAGAAATGAGACTTGGGGTTAACCTCTGACCTCTACATGTTTGTGCATACACATGTACACACATATACACATGCATCCCCTAAAACACACACACAGATAGGTGGGGGACGAGAGATAGATGTCTCGTGGGAAAATGGCATGACGCGCATGAGCGTCTGAGTTTGGATCATCAGCATCCATGCAAAAAGCCAAGTATGATGCATGCCTGTGTCCCCGGGACTAGGATGAAGGGGTGGAGGAAGAGAGGTGGGTCCTAGGGACTAGCCAGCTAGTCTAGCCAAAGAAAACCATAAGCTCTGGGTTCAGTGAGAAATGTCTTAATAATCTTGGTGAAGGCTTTTGAGTGACTGTCTTCCCAACTCACTAGCCCACTTCCTTCCTTGTGAGTGCCTTAAAAAAAAATCTATTAAGTTTGTTTTATGCACGTGAATTTTTGCCTGCATGTACATCTGTGTGCCATGTGTGTGCCCATGCCTGTGGAGGCCAGAAGGGGGTGTCAGATCTCCTGGAACAGGAGTTACAGGTGGTTATGAATGACCATGACTGCCAGGTCCTCTGCAAGATCAAGTTATCTTTTTCTTTCTTAAGAAACTGCTCCTTTGGAGCCAGGCATTGGCAGCGCACACCTTTAATCCCAGCACTCTGAAGGCATAGGCAGGCGAATCTCTGAGTTCAAGGCCAGCCTGGTCTAAAAAGTGAGTTCCTGGACAGCCAGGGCTACACAGTGAAACCTTGTCTCAAAAAAAAAAAAAACAACAAAACTAAAAGGAGACCATTGTTTTCTCTTTTTTTCATTAATTTATTTTTTACATTTCACAAACATTTTTTTTAAATAGTGGGCAGCAATAGAGGAAGACGGTGGCATTGACCCCTGTCTTCCATACACAAAACAAGCGCACGGGCAAGCTCACACCTGACAAACATGCTTGCATATAACACACACAAGTCAGGTGAGACCAGACAGGCCTTTCCCTGGACGGACAGACTATTGGTGAAAAGGAAGCTTTGCGTGGACAGGAGTGGAGGCTGGTCTACGAGCACCCTTGCTTTACTCTTCTGGTTTAGCAGGGAATCTCTGAGCTGCAGTGAGTCCTGGCAGCGGGAGAGCTGCTCAGGAGAGGCATGTCCTTTTCAGTCCTGTATCGATTTCTGTATCATGAGTCACTGGCTGCAGTTTTTCTCTGTAAAGTGAGATGCCTAAGTCCCACTTGGGGCTGTAGTGTATAGTAGCGTGATGTGTGGGGTAGAAGGGCCCTTCTTGACCCTTGTTCCAGCTTCCTTTCTTTTGTTGTGATTTAAAAAAAAAAACCCCAGTGAAAAGTAGCTTAGGAGAGAAAGGGTTCGCTTTGGCTTACAGTTCCAGGGGGACAGAGCCTGTCGTGGCAGGGGAGGGGTGGCAAGAGCAGAAAGCGGGGTTGATTGTTGCATCTAAACAGGAAACGGAGAACAGGAAATAAGGTCTGGCTCTAAAACCTCAAAGCTCTCCCCTCAAAGCACTCCCTCCAACAAGGCCCCTCCTTGCCAAGGTTCCATAACCTTCCCAAAATGGCGCCATTAGCTGGGGACCATGTGTTCAAACAAATAAGCCTCTGGGGACATTTGACATTCAAACCACAAGAGAATCTCTGGATGTTAGCAGAGCTGTCCAGGAGACCCCTTCCCGGCTCCAAGCTACCTCGTGCCACAGTTCTCCAATATGATGAGGATACCTGTAGCAAAGACTGCCCACCGCAGGACACTAGTGTTAGATCTACAAGCCAGGTCTCTGAGTCAGCTCGCTTGGGCGGTCTTGGGGCCACGAAGGTATTATAAAGAATCAACAAGCTGTGCAGGGCACTCAGCCCCCTTTGTATTTTCAAGAAGGAAATGGCAAATCCATGTGTCTGGTTACCTTACTCCCGAGCTACAGCTATGGCTCAGGACCCAGGGAACACTGGCATGAGAATCATAGCAGAGTGAAGAGAGGCAGGTCCCAGGGGCCACAGCCCAGACCTGTTGAATCTGAATCTCTGACAGCCTGCATCTTAACTGCTTCAGGGGACTCTGCTTTTCCCCGGGGTTTAGCGCTGCTGGCCAAGAGCTCTCTAAAAGCCTCCACCTTTGTAGGGGACACGTCACGAGTGATGGGGTCATCCGGGTATCTTCTTCTGTGTCCTTAGCATTCTCCCTTTGAAGTTTGTGGAGCTCCAGATCTGTGACCACCATGAACGCATCCTGAGGTTGAGGACAGTTACCGAGAAAATCTACTTCCTAAAGCTCCACCCTGACCATCCTGAGACTGTCTTCCTTTTTTGGATCCGCCTGGTCCAAATTCTGCAGAAGGGTCTGTCCATCACCACCAAGGACCCTAGCATCCTTGTCACTCACTGCCTGGTACCCAAGAGCCTCTGCAGCCCATGTGGAATGTCTGAGGTAAGACATCCCCTTTGCCAGCCTTGGGCCAAGACCAGAGTCGGAAAAGGGAGAATTGAGCTGCTGCTGAGTGCCCTGAGTTGTTGCCCTCAGTTTTAACTTTCTTCCCAACATGGTAGCATTTACAAGCACTGAATTCCCTGTCTAAGTACATATGCTTTCAGTAAAGGTACACAGTAATGCAACCGTCAACCATCACTACAACTCAGTGAAAATGAACAAAACAGAAGGGGTTTGCTTTTGTTTTATGTTTTTTGGCTTTTTTTTCGGAGGGGAGGGTTGCCTTTTTGAGATAGGTCTCATGTAGCCTGGGTTAGCCAATGCTGGCCTTGAAATCCTGAGCTTCCTTTCTCCAGCTCCCAAGTACTGGGATTATAGGCATGTTCTACCATGCCAGGCCAAAAGAGATTTTCCTGGTGTGTGTGTGTGCATGTGTGTATGTGTGTGTGTATGGTGGCTGTATACACTGTGCGGGGCATGCCAGAGGCCAGAGGAAGACTTCATGTATATTCCTCTATTCTTTGCCTTATTCCTTTTAGATAGGGTATTTCACTGAACCTGGAGCTTGAGGGACTTTTGCTAGGCTGGTGGCCACAAACCCCAGCAATTCTCCTGTCTCTGCTCCCCAACTCTTCACCCCCAGTGCTAGGGTTAGAGGTGTGTGCTGCCGTGGATGGCTCTTTACATGGATGCTAGGGATCCGAACTCAGGTCCTAATTCTTTCACAAGCACTTTTACCCACTGAGCCATCTCCATAGCCCTTGGGGGAGGTGTTTGTTTAGTTTTTTCATTCTCTATTCTTACCTCCTCTCTCCCTTCTGTTTCTCTGTCCCTCCCTCACTCCCTCCCCCGTGTGTGTGTGTGTGTGTGAGAGAGAGAGAGAGAGAGAGAGAGAGAGGAGAGAGAGAGGGCACATGTGACTTGGCACACATGTAGAGGTCAGAAGATAGCGTCAGGTGTCGATCCTCCTCTTCTGCCTTACCTAAGACCGGGTTCCTTGTTCTCCTCTGTGCACTCCAGGCTAACTGGTCCTTGGCCTTCTGTGGATTCATTCTCTTGTCTCTGGTTCCCATCTCATCATAGGCGCTCTGGGGTTTCACAGATGAGCTATGGCATCTGGTTTTACATGCATTCTGAACATCAAGCTCTTTGCTCATTAACATCCCTTTTGCTACCTTTCCCTTTCTCCTTCTCTCTCTCTCTCTCTCTCTCTCTCTCTCTTCTCCAGGGCTGAGGACTGAACCCAGGACCTTGCTCTTGCTAGGCAAGCACTCTACCAGGGAGCACAATCCCCAACCCCGCCAGACTTTTGTTAAAAGTGTCCCTACATAAGTCCTTGTTGGTGGTGCTCTTGTGAATGTAATTGTGGGAGTTTTGTTGCGCTAGAATCCAGGATGGCTTACAACTCCAGGTCCTCCTGCTTTAGGCTCCAAGTGCTTAGATGACAGACCTGTGCTATAATATAATGTATGGCCTTGGAACTATGGGAGTTTTGTGCCTGTTGGAGACCGGCTCTCACTCAGTCATCTATTCATGCCTTTTCAGTCATGGTCCAAGATATCAGGCATGCTCAACAATGGGAGTTGGCAAACAGCTGAAGAACAGGTTGTGTGGTCTCTCCTCCTCCGTCTCTCTCTCTCTCTCTCTGTGTGTGTGTGTGTGTGTGTTTGTGCCCTCTCTCCCCCCTCCCTTCCCTTCCCCCGATCTTCAAAGAAAACAGTGGGAAAGCCCTGAGTGTTGGCTCTGTGTTTTGGCTTTTGGTGGTGTATGAAAAAGAGATAAACAGGAAAAGTTGTGCTTTCTGAGGTAGATCACAGAAAAGTGAATGAGCTTAACAGCGAAGGTCTGCAAGCAGCTGCGGGGTGAGGTGGGGAGGCTTCTAGGAAGTAAAAGTACACCATTTCATTAATAGCACAAGTATTCTTCCCCTCTGCTCAGTATGCTTTAGGTGGATCAGGTTTCCTGAGAGTTGTCTCCTGGTCAGCCCCCTTGGGGAGGGTCCTTGGAACTCCCTGACCAGCCAGCTCAGCAGAGTCAGTGACAGCCAGGTCCAGTGAAAGGCCTTTCTTAACTATCAGGTGGAGAATGATAGAGGAAAACATGCAGTGTTGACCTGTAGCCTCTACATGTGTGCTCATGAGTGTGTACATGCACCTACATGTACATACATACACACATAAACAGGTACAAATGCACTACAGATCCACAAAGCAACTGCATATAGGACTTTCCTTAGAGGAGTTAGTTTTTTTTTAAACATTAACTTTTCACAATATATGCATTTAAGTACAAAAACAAGTAGTACTAGCTATTAAAGTTCATCTTGATACTAAATCTCTGTTGGCAAGTGTACAATGAAGACCTCACCTTTAGAGCTACCAACAAGGAAAAGTGCTGCCCTGAGCAGCTGATATGGTTGCCTAATATGGGATAGGGTGAGTCCTGATGTTTCTGAGTCTAGAGCTTGGTGTTAAGAAAATGCAGAGAGCCCAAGGCTTAACCTTGTTTGTTTGTCCTTTCTCCATATAGTTAGGGACGAATAACTCTCAAGGTTCCCTGCCCAGTGAGAGCCTCATGCAACTGGTGGCCCAGGGGGAGAGCGAGGCTCTCTCGAAGATCTTGGCCGACTTGCATCAGCAGAAACAGTACAGGTACATGATTTAAATCAGGCTAGCCCATGCCATCCTTTTCCCTAGGCTGGAAGATCCCAGCAGTGAGATCCTTGGCAAAGGAGTTCAGTTAGGGACGTGACACACTGTCGCACAATGCCTACCTAGTCTCTGAACAATTTTGGGTTCCCATTATCTTCACACAGCAAGCAAGGTAGGCCTGACTCCAGAGGAGCCGTGCGTATAGAACTTCTAAAGCAATAAAAATGAGTTAGTAACAGGCACGGAAGAACGAAAGCTAAATTCCGATCCAGTATCTGATTTTATAGTGACATAACCACATTGCTTTAAACTCCGCTGTGCCCTGGGTTAGTTTCCCTACTGACTGGGCCTCTGTTCGGACTTTATAGAGCTCCTGAGGTTGTTCCTACAGTATCATCCCCTGGGATGGTCCAGGGCACAGGCCTATCTTCTCCATGCCTGAAGATGTCCCTGCACGTGCAGATGGTCTGGAGTGATATGAGAGACAGGAAGCCAGGTGTGGTGGCCTGCATCTGTCATTCCAGCACTGAGAAAGAGGCTGAGTCCCAGACTAGTTTGGGCTACAAGCTGAGAAGGAAAACCACAAATGAATTAGTAGATATCGCCAGGAGAGAAAAATGAAGTGTCAAAAGGAAGGAACACTTTTAAAGATAGGATCTCATATAGCCCAGGTTGGCTTCAAATTCTCTATGCAATCAAGAATAAGCTTGAATTCCTGCCTCTACTTCCCAAATACTTGAATTATAAGAAAGTCAGTACCACCATTCCTGACATATAGAAGAGATACCCCCTCCCTCTAGCTTGGGGAGTGAATTTGGGGCCTCAAGCTACCACACTCATTTATTAACCCAAGAGGAGGGGATTTTGCCATAATAGGAAACAGTTAGAGTAGGTCAGAGACAAACCAAATAGTGCTAGGGTGGTAAGCCAAAAACAAAGAGGGTCCAGAGAAAGTGTACTCTCTTACTGTTTGAAGGCTCATAGACCAGTGCCTCAGCTTTCTGTTCTATAATACCTAAAACATAATAGACAGCCACCTCAGGATACTATTGGGATTAAGTGAGCTCATAAGCATCAAGCACTTAGCATGCTCTTTTTCAGAGAAACAGATGTGAGTGAGAGCTCAATAAAAATGTGTATTACTACTAGACTGGACAGTTTGTACAGAAGATTGTTACTGCATATTAACATACAGAAAACTATAATTTAAAGTGTTTATATAGAATATCATATTTTGGGTCATGGTGGCTTACACCTTTAATGCCAGCACTTGGGAGGCAGAGGCAGGCAGATATCTTTGAGTTCAAGGCCAGCCTGGGCTACAGAGTGAGTTCCAGGACAGCCAGTGCTACACAGAGAAACCCTGTCTCAAAAGACACTAAGTAAAAAACAAACAAAAGAATGTTGTATTCTGAACTAATTCTGAATTCTAATAGAACAAAGGTATACTGAAGCAAGTTTTGAACTGTGTCAAGTTATTAAATCACTGATTTTGTAGTACAGCAAGCCTGAAACTTGTTAAGTAACTAGTGAGATGACCTTGAACAGGCTTCTTTGTTTTTTTGTTTGTTTTCTGAAGCAGGGTCTACATTGGCAATGCTGGCTCAGAATGCAGGGCCTTCCTGCCTTGGAGTATAAACATGACCACAATACCCAGATAACTTAATATTTATGGGACACTGTATTAGTTATTTTTCTATTGTTATGATAAAATGCCATGACCAAGGCAACTTACATACAGTGAGATTTACTTGGGCTTGTGGTTGCAGAGTAATAAGAGCCCGTCATGGCTAGAAGACACAGCAGCTATTGGCAGTCATGGCAGCATGAACAGGAAGCTGGCACAAGGCTTTTAATCCCAAAGCCCACCCCCTGTGACACACTCCCTCCTACAAGACTATACCACCTAAACCTCTCCAAAAAGGGCCATCAACTGGGGACTGAGTGTTCCGACACTCAAGCCTCTGAGTGTGTATATGTGTGTGTGTGTCTCATTCAAACCACCAGACCCTTTTGCATATATTTCATGCTGAGTTACTGCCTGTAACTCAGTCCCATAAACCGAACTAGCTGCAAGGGAGGCTGAGACAAAAATTGCGTGTTCTCAGGCTGAGATGGTGGTACATGCCTGTAATGCCAATAGTCAGGAGGCTAGGGCAGGAAGATTCCTGTGGGCTTGATGTCTACCTAGGCTAATCTGTCTCAAAACAATATCCACAAAAGAAAAGGGAAGTGGGTTACTAGGGGGCCTATCACCGATCTCTAGTCTTTAATTCTGGAAGGGAGCAAAGCCCTGAAAGAGAAATAGGCACTAGACAAAGAAAAGGGGGAAGGATGGGGGTAGGAGAGCCAGGCAGGTTGAAGAAACAAATGGCTGAAGAAACTTGGTGGGTTTAGTGAAAGAACAAGAAGGTCGCTGGGTCAGAGAACATGGAGAAACAGGCAAGGGACCCTGCCAAGCAGGGCCCGAGAAGCCATGTGAAGGATTTTGCACTTTCAGTGGAGGGGAGTCTTAGCTGCATTTTACACGTGGGCATACTTTGATCTAATTTACATTTGGAAAAGGTCACTCTAGCTGTTGCCATGACAGTTCACTGGATGGGAAGAAGAGACCCAGAGAGACCAGATAAGCAGCTACACTGATCTGAACTGGCAAGTGTGAAATGGGCCAGGGAGACTTGAGAAAAGGAGTGGATGAGTATCACTCCTTCCTCCGTTATGTCAGTAGCTGTTATGTACAAATATTTAGCTTACTTGATTTTCCAGAACAAAGCCCCATGTGACGATGCTGTAGATTCAGGCATTTTCCCAGCTGGTTGCACATATTACCAGTTTTTTGCTCACTAGCAGCAACATGCCACCATGTAAATAGCATACATGGCTGAGATGCAAGATCCAAGATAGGGTCACAGCCCTCTCCCTCAGACAAATCAGAGCCATGGGCTCTGGTCCCTGCCTCTTTCCATCCCACCCTCCTTTTTCTCCTTTCTCTTCTGGAAACATAATATGCATCACACCCACCCGGTGTAGCCACAGCTGGCCTTTTCCATATTTATATCTGTCTCTAAATCTTTTGCATCAGGAAAAGTCTACCTAGAGATAAGCTTTGAAATATGACTTTAGGGCTGAGCATGTACCTGATTGTAGAGTGCTTGCCACAGCACACACAAAGCCTGGGTTTGATCTGCTACATAAACCAGGTATGCTGGTGCATGTCTGTAATTCCAGAACTCAGGAGGCAGAAGGGTCAGGAGTTCAGAGTCATCCTCAGTTACATAGTGAGTTTGAGGCCAACCTTAGATACATGAGACCTGTTGCAAAACCAAAACAAAACAAACAAACAAAACCCACTTGAGTTCAATGTTCTTCTCTTTAACTTTTGATCTTCGTTTCCTTGACCCTGAAATGACTGGAGTTCTAGGAGGAGCAACGAGATGCAGATCAACAAGACCAGCTCAGGTAAGAAAGGATGCAGGGTTGCATGCCAGGGAGAGCTAGCTGCTGTGTAGGACTCAGGTCCCATAATACCCCATGCCATAATGGATATCTCTCTGGGCTTTTTGGTCACCAAAGTCAATTTGGCATCAAGTCCTACTAGTCTATTTCTTTGAGACATTTCTATATTCATTTCCAGCTCCACAAAATGACCGTAGCCAGTCCTTCCCCCCTCACATCTGCAGTATCCATTTGTTGATTCATTGGTTTATTTAGATGCATGCACCAGAGGCTCTTTAAGCCACACTGCCTTCTCTCAAGGGCATGAAGACACACGGGTGCAAACCAAAATTATAGAAACTCCTTGCTAGACAACATTCAGAGTCCATGCTGGGGTGCCAGAGGTACATAAAGGTCTCTACTCCTTTCATATCATTGCCATATGTGATAGGGTCAGGAGCGATGGAGCAGATGAGGCCCTGTGAGAAAATGTGACATTCCAGAAGCAGTCACATTTCAGCCATGCTTCCTCATGACTTAGTCATACCCCACCCACTTCCTTCCCCTGAGGAGCCACTCTAAACCCCGTCTGTCCTAAACCCTATACCACACATTCCTGCCAAGACTTAACTTTCCTCCTCGTAACCTCTCACACTACTCTCTGGTTCTCTTATAGGCGTAAGGCTTATTTCTTAATGAATGTTAAATTGCATCCATGCCTCTAAGTCATCTACAGCAGCGAGCACAGTGCTGGGGACACAATGGGAGCTCAATAAGTATGAGGACCTAAGACCATTGACAAATTAGTTCTCCATGCTGGCTCAGAGACAGCCAGCCACATCACACTGTGTGTTGAAATGTAAAGGAGATTGTAGGTCCCAGATTGTAGGTCTCAGATCCAAATCAGAGCTTTTCACATACTCATTCATATATCTGTAGGTGGAATAAATGGATGAAGGTCTGAGGGAGCATGGGCAGGAAGAGTGGTTGACTCTTAACGACATTTAAAACAACTGCTGGTAGAGTTAGAGAGATGGCTCAGTGGTCAAGAACACTCTCTGCTCTTGCAGAGGACCCAGGTTCAACTCCCAGCTCAAAACTGAATGTCACTCCATTCCTGGGAGACCTAACACCCTCTTCTGGCCTCCATGGGCAGCAGGCATGTATGTGGTGCACAGACATATATATATGTAGGCAATACATACACAATAGTCAAACACATAAAATGTAATGAGTAAATCTAAAAACTACACAACAACTGGTGGCAACTGACCCTCTGATTTCAACATTAAGAAGACAGTCTAGAGTGATCTAGACAGGGCAACCAAAGCAGCGAATGTTTTTTAGTTAAAACCTTGATCGACGGTTGCCTTGCTGGCACATAGCCTGGTATTGTCAGATACTCTTGATTATTTTTCAGGAGAAGCCCAGAATCTGAATTTTTTTGGCAGGGAGGGGGTTCAAAACAGGGTGTTTCTGTGGCTTTGGAGCCTGTCCTGGAACTCACTCTGTAGACCAGGCTGGCCTCGAACTCACAGAGATCCACCTGCCTCTGCCTCCTGAGCGCTGGGATTAAAGACATGCACCACCACCTTTCAGCTTGAATTTTTATACTCTGTAAGAAGGAAGTGCAGTGTATATTAAAGCTCAGTGGGCAAGAAAGATATGCTAAAGGGAAGGTTGCATTCAGCACTGAAGATGGAGATGGAAGCTGCCCGCTCCTAAGTCCTGACAGGTGAGCAGAGCTTACTTCCTCTGCATCTGTGACCTTTGATGCGATGCCAACTCATTTTTCTGTTTTGATATAACATTCAAGCACATTCACAAACACATACACTTTAAAATATTCTATGAGGTTAGAGTCGAGGAAAACAGAGTACTCAAGGATATTTCTAATGAGTGCTAGGCCTGGAGGGAAAAGGTTTAGAATTTCAGGATGTGGTGGCATGTACCTGTCATCACAGTACTTGGGAAACTGAGTTGGGAGAAATGCCTCAAGTTTAAAGCCAACCTGGTCTATATGGCGAGTTACAGGATAGCCTGGGCTACAGAGGGTCTTACTGGAGCCTCAAACAACACCAGAAGGGATTCAGGGTGTCTGGTGTTGGGATATTCTTAGGCTGATATTAATGATCCACTCTGGGATGTTACATTCTCTGTACCTTGTTTTCTTGCTGGCTCAAGTACCCGGCAGAAAAGGGAAGTTATATGCCAGGCTCTTGGGACTCTGGTTGTCTCCTACTGAACCACACTCTAAACCCTCTACTGGAACTTCTGGATTCAAAAATAAAATAAAAAGAAAGGCAGAGAAATAACTCAGTCAGTAAAGTACTTGCCTTGTAAGAATGAGGGCCTGAGTTTGACTTCCAGATCTGAGTTTGGTTCCTAGCATCTACTTTGGGTAGCTCAGAACTATCTGTAACTCCACCTCCAGAGGGAGGAGAGAGATCGGATGGATGCCTCTGGTCTCTGACAACCTTCATTCACTTGTACCTGCTCACACAGGTATACGCGCACGCACTGAGGCACTCAGGGACACATGCACACACTCACAGTTAGACATTGTGGTGTATGCCTTTAATCCCAGCCCTTGAGGGGCAAGGAGAGGAAGAATCAGGAGCTCAAGACCAACCTTGGCTGTGCAGAGCTTAGGTGGATAGGCATTGGGGTCGATTCTCTGTCTAGACAACCAGAGGCCCACAATTCACCTGTGTGCCCCTAATTAGCAGGCTCACAAGTCGACCCTTGGTCTTGTTGAAATGCTATTTCTAATTCATTAGACCTGGACATAAGGCCCTGAAACCAGGCATTTCTAATATGATCCCAACTGATACCATGGTTTTGGTTAGCCAGGGGCAAAGGATCTAAGAATAGGCTCTGGCTTTGCTCTTCTGGCTTCAGTTTGGGGCGATTTACTCAGTTAACCTGTCCCAATCACAGTGTTTCTCCCCATCTATTGAGGCTATTTTGCTCAACGTGATGTAGTGGTTAAGAAACTCTGGAGAGAGGTCGGTTGACTTTGCATATTGACTCTGCCACGTCATAACGTGGCCATTAGTGAATTAATCAGCCTCTATGGACCTCGGAGTCCTCATCGTAAAATGGGGAATGTGGGAGAGTTACCACCCACGATAAAAGCAGGAAATGTGTAGTTGTCTGATGTGTCTGTGTATAATAATGGCTTCTTCTCCCCACAACTATTGGCTACTAGCTTCCAGAGTGCTCTGTGAGCCAGTGTGCAAATGCATTCCTTTTCTTAACTAGAGAAAGCTACTCCCAGGGAAGACAATATCCCCTGTACCCGCGATCTCAGTTGGAGGGACGCATTGACTTACGGAGAATGGGAGAGAGAAAACCCCTCTGGGCCACAGCCCCTCTCGCTCCTCGGCACTCTGGCTGCCTCCAGCAGGCCACGGCTGTCCCTACCTGGAGGTACGGTGGTGATGGGATTGATCTGGTGATCTTCATGGGACAGGCTGGAGTTCAAGCTCAGAAATGGGACCGTGCCCTCGGGTCCTTCGGGTGATTCCAAATGCTGTGCACCGAGGATGGGTTGCTGGCCACAGGGACCTTACCCTCTGCCCTTCTGCCTTCTTCTCTTTGCCTCCAATGATATTGAATGGGATTCTGCAGTGTGGGATCTCCAGGAACTCCAGAGTCCCCACAAGTGGCACCGAAGGGCAGGCTGTTCGGCTGGTGCTCTTGAGCTAGAGCCTTCTCTTTCTGCTGTGTGGGGAGACAGAGGAGCCTTCTCCTAGAGTTCAGCAGTAACTGGAGCTCTTCCCTTCCTTCTCCCCGAGAGCTCTTGGTGTCTTTTTAACTAAGGGTGGTGGTGGACTAGCGAGAGGGAGAAGGAGCTACACTGCAGGGCTGGGTGAGGACAAACTTCCTGGGGTCCCAGCCTTTCCCTTTCCATGCTCCAAGGCCCCCATCTAGCCTACATTTACTCACAAGCATTACGAAGTACCTTCTATGCACTGTCTGACAGTCCTTAAGAAGGTGGGTTAACTTATGTTTTCCTAATTCATAAAAAATAAAATACTTATTTTTGTGTTTGTAAAAAAAAAAAACCCTTTATTTTTAAAGTACTTTTAAAGTGAACACACAAAGGCATTTTTTTTTTGTTTTTGTTTTTAGTTAGGAGTAATCACACCTCAGATAAACCTTAGCTATTCTGCCACTGCGCCAGCTCTCATTGGCATGTCACAGGCAGGTGTCATTATACTTTGCTCTCCTGCCCCCTTACCGTCCTCCCCTATTCCCATTGCCCCCTTCTACTTTCCTGTCACCAGCATTCCATTGTCCCACCTTTCCTCTGCTCTCCTCAGGGTGTCTTCTTGCCCTCCCATGACCCCTTCCTACTTTCATGATCTACATATATTATACACACAAGACAAATGTAATAAAATTTTAGGTATTATCAGTGAAATAATATCATATGAAATATGGTTATATGAAGTAACTACCATCAATGAAACTCTTCCAAAAGACCATTTATTAGAAACTGAAAAGTTGGGCTGGAGAGATGGCTCAGAGGTTAAGAGCAATGACTGTTCTTCCAGAGGTCCTGAGTTCAATTCCCAGCAACCACATGGTGGCTCACAACCATCTGTAATGAGATCTGGTGCCCTCTTCTGGAATGCAGACATACATGCATACAAAATACTGTATACACAATAAATAAATCTTAAAAAAGAAAGAAAAAGAAACTCAAAAGTTTTCAATGTAAATAGGGGCTAGAGGGTCCTCTGCGTTAAGAACGTATACTGCTTTTCCAGAGGACCTGAATATAGTTCCCAGTATTCAGATGATCCTGTAACTCCAGCTCTACATCTAACACCTTAGGCCTCCACAGACACTTACACTTGCACATATCCCCCATCCACATAATTAAATTAAAATGTAAATAAGAACAACTGCCCCCTCCTGTGGTCTCACTTTCCATAGTGTGAGTTAGCCACACCAAATGCAGTCCAAAAATTAAAATGGAGACTCACTATCGAGAGAGAAACCACAGTCACATAACTTTTGTCGGAAGAGCTTTCCTGGTAACCTATATGATACTGACCACTTTTCTCTCTGGCACTCACAGGAAATTCCATATGATGAACGCTTTCCCATTGGGGAGACTTTATGCAGCCCACACCAGACTTCTCTTCAGTGTTCAGTTTCAGGGGCTCTATCTGGACAGAAGGGAGGAGGAGATTGCCACTAGGAGCAAACCTGAGTTATCACATCCCTGACAGGAGTGGTCTCCTCATCGTCAGCCTCTCCACCGCCGGAGAGTACAGCAACCTGCATCCCGTGGGCCCCAAGCAGGTAGATTGGGATGCATTCTCCAAAAGACGAGCCAGGAGAAGAGCAATGCAAGGGAAGACAGCCCAGAGGATCTGTGGACACAAGCAAACGGGAGAGGACACAGAAGCTGGCAGGAGGAAGTCAGAGAAGAGAGGCAGGAAGAAAAGTAGCAACACAAGCAAACAGAAGAGGACCCGGGAGACAAACTGAAGAGAACTAGACAAGAAGCACATCTCTGAGAGATGCCCGCCAAGCCTCTATTTATCTAATTTAAAAAGTAAAGCCATAAACCAAGGCGAGAAGTGTGATTTCCTCTCTGCTCAGAACACTCTGGAACAACCTCATCCTTCTTCCTCTGCCTATTGCCCAATTCAGGCTTGTTCACCTGTCCCTGGGTTGGAAGCTGAGGAACAATCTTTTGTTTGGGTTTTGAGGTAGGGTCTCTTCCAGGCAGTGGTGGTGCACGCCTTTAACCTTAGCACTTCGGAGGCAGAGGCAGGTGGATCTCTGTGAGTGTGAGGTCAGCCTGGTCTACAATGTGAGTTCCAGGACAGTCAAGGCTATATAGAGAAACCCTATCTCAAAGGGAGAGAGAGGAGAGGAAGGGAGAAGAGAGGAGAGAAGAGAGAAAGAGAGAGGGGGAAGAGAGAGAAGAAAGAAGTAGGGTCTCATCTATCCCACCTCAAGGATGCTGGGATCAAAAGCATTTTCAACAATTTCCAGTTTATTTGGTGCTGGGAACCAAACACGGCCTTGTACATGCCAGGCAAGCACTCCACAGAATGAGTTGTATCACATCACCAAACTCTTTTAGGAACAATGTTTCCAGAAGATTAGAAGTGTTAGGCCGGGTAAGTTTTCCTTTTGTTCAAACTTAACTAGGTTTACTAGCTTCTCGGGAACACTGGTTTACTCCCTTTTGTTTAGTGCTGCATTCCCAGTGTCCACAGCAGTGCCTGGCACACAGGAAACCCTTCAGTCGTTTGTGATGTGTTCAGCCACACCACGGGAGCAGAGTAAGCAGGCTCAGAGGACAGCATCAGCTTCTGCGGTCAAAAGCATGGTTTTCAGAGACCAGATGGACTAGTGGGCCTTGAGTATAGATGGTTGTGCCTTTTCTTTTTTTAAGACTACATATACAGGGTTCTGTACTGCATGTATGCCTACCCACCAGCAGAGGGCACAAGATCTCATTACAGATGGTGCTGAGCCACCATGTGGTTGCCGGGAATTGAACTCAGGACCTCTGGAAGAGCAGCCGTTGCTCTTAACCTCTGAGACATCTCTCCAGCCTTAGTGGTGTCATTTCTTAGCTTGTCACTCCTAAATTCCTTTCTTCTACTGGCTACTTTCTAATTCCGAGGCTCTTGTTGACCTTAATTTGCCTCTCAGAAGGGTTCTGCCTCCTGGACAGACTCCTCCAGCTTCTGAATTCTTTCCATAACCTCTATTCACCATGCCTGCCATACTCTACTCATTTCCCTCACCTTCCAGGGATCGGGACCATTCTTTAAAAATTTCATTTTACTGATCTGGGTATTGAACTCACACCTTTGTGTGTACTAGGCAGGCACTCTACCACTGAACATTTCATTTAAGAATGTTGCCTTAATTTCTGTCATCCAAGTTACAAACTCTAAAACTTATTTCAATTTACTTATTTACCCTTTCTGTGCATATGCACAAATCAAATCACGTATGAAGGGTTCAGAGAACAACTTCCAGGTGCTGTTTTTCTTCTTTTACTACGCGAGTCCCAGGGATTGAACTCAGGTTATCAGACTTGGCAGCAAATACTCCTACCACTGAACCGTCTTCCCAACCCTTTATAGAACAGTGGTAGACTAGAGTCCTGGGGGAAAGTCTAGATTCAAACTCTCCCTCGCCCCCCCCCCAAAAAAAAAAGATTGCTAATTTCCTGTGCATGGTTTCAATCGGGCCTGCGGCTCAATGGATTTCTTCTATTCAGTTCATTTAGTATCACTGAATGCATCTAGGCCTGGTCTGTAAGCTGGGAGCTCCTGATGTATAAGTTCAGCGGATCCTATTCCAACACTTGATCTAACTGTCTACAAAAGGATAAGCACCATTATTTAGCAAAATCTGGCTGTGCACTGAAAATGCAAACTGCTTTCCTAGTTTGCATTTTTGGGACCAGGAAAGGTGCCTAGAGCTGACGCCTGAACTAGGCCCTGGAAGCTTCACTACCTGCCCAGCTTCCACTAAGACCATTTCAGGACGGCAACCTGTTTCATGGGTAGCGGCTTTCAGTAGCTGGAAAAATCGAGAAACTTCTTTCGGGCAGATGAAGCCACTTTGTGAGCAAAGACCACAAGGATGTGAAATGTAAGGCTCTCGGGGAAGGCACGGGTCATGATGGATTGGGCAGAGGTGCGAAGGAGCGTGGTGGGTGGAAAACGAAGCGGAAAGGTACACGTCAGCAGGCCGGAGATCAGCTAGAAGATCAACCGGGACCCTCAGGAGCCAGAGGCTGGGCTGGTTCGCTGCGGCTGGTGACGGATCAGGAGTATTAATCCGGCCCCGGGGGGGGGGGGCTTGAGCACAGGAAGGAAGCTGTCAGAGTAACGCTGGAGGCCCTAGGAGTCAGACTCCGCGTCGTGAATGCGGACGTGGCTGCCAGGGGGCCTTGGTTAGCGGGCCGCGCCCACACGCCCGAGAGCAGACAACTGGGACTCCGCGTCCCCACAGGATGGGCGACCCGAGCTGGGCGGGAATCCGGTCCACGCAACTCGGCGCGCTCGCGGGGACGTGGCGCTTTCAAGCCAATCACGGCCGCGGGACGGTGGGACCAATGGCCGCACGGGAAAGCGGCGCATCAGCCGCGGTCTTGCTGGTGATTGGTGCGCAGGCCGCCGACCTGGCGGATGGGGGCGGGGCGAGGAGCCACTTCCGGCGGGGCGGGGCTTGCGCGCGGGAGCTGCTCCGCTGGGTGAGCTGCGGCCACGGTATCCTGCGGCGTGGATCTCCGGAGAAAGGTGAGCCCCGCGGTGCTCGGTGGGTCCCCGGTCACCCTTATTCTGTCCGTCGGCCTGGTTCCTCCTGCGCAGTGGGTCTTCCTCACCCCGGCCTCAGTGTACCCGGGCGGGCCTGAGACTCCCGGCTCGCCGTCCCGCAGCTCCGTGCACAGGGCTATGGCCCGGCAGACTTTGACTCCCGGGCCCTCCGGCCTCCTGGGCACCGTTTTGTGTCTGGCTTCGTGCATCCTTGTTCTCCGCCCCGGCTCCCTCCACTCGCAGTGTCCCTAGGACTTGAGGGTCACTTTTGTTTGTTTCCTGAAGGTCGGAGAGAATTGGGTAGAGTTTGCACCAGCTCCCTGCCACCTTTCACAGGCCTGCTGGGAGCTGCCACCCCGCCCCAAGGCCACATCCCATTAGTGGGTTGCAAGTGCCAAGAAAGAAAGTATTTGCTGTCTTACAGGGTGTAGTAAGGTGGGGAACAAAACGACTGGTAACAATGTCATTACTTTTTTTTTTTTTAAAGCAAAAAAAAAAAAAGTCTTGTTAGAAAGGGACGCCGCACTTTTCTGAGTTTGGCTGAATATAGTCATTAATAGAAAGTTTACACACGTTAATTAGGGAGTTGATTACCTTTAAATAATCATATTTTTGCTTGTCTTTCCCAAGTGCTAGTTCTGATTTTTGGCGTGCAGTATTCAGAAGTGAACATAATTCCCTATAGTTGCTGTAATTAAGAGTGATTTGTATCTTGTAAGGTTTCTTTTGCTTAAGTGGGACAAATCAGTGTATTGCTGCTACAACTTTTGGGTCTTTGATCAAATTCCTAAATGTACGAAGCCCTGCACAGAATTTTTTGAGGATTGCATTCACTTCCTGTAATGGACTAACACGTCAGCATTAATTGGGAATAATGACGCTCAAGTTTATTTAATTGAGCATGAAAGGAGAGAAACTTGGAATGGCTGATAAATTCTTTGCTATACTTGAAAGCTGACCCAAGACAAATAGATGTTTGACCTCATTGAGTTAGACTTAAGTATCAAGCCGTAGTCACCACTGAAGAACTTGTGGAAATCCAAAGGAGGGACCGAGATAACCTGTAACTACTTGCATGAAAGGCAAGTCTGTGTAGTCCTAATCTGAGTTTGACAGTGTTTCAAGGGTCTCTAACAGGATATTTTATAGAATCAAAAGTGGGAGTTAAGGATCTCACAAAAATGCTGAATTATGTGTGAGTTAATGGTAATCATCTCAATGTCATCCTCTGTCTCTGGTGCCATCCATCCAGTGATTGTTACGTATACCTCTGGAGTTTTATATGATTGCCTCAGTGCAGGAAACTAGTATGTTAGTATTAGCCCAGTTTTTTTTCCTAACATGGATATGCTGGGATGTTTCAGGGATAGCCAGGAATAGTCATGGCAAATGCATCATTAAGATCCTGGCCTCTTTCTATGAATTTTTCTTTGTGGGTTTGTTGTTTGTGTGAGAGAGAAAAGGTCTCACTGCGTAGCTCTGGCTGGCCTGGAACTCACTATGTAGACCAGGTTGTCCTAGAACTTACAGCGATCTGCCCATCTTTGCCTCCTGAAGGCTGAGATTAAAGAAGCTCATCACCACTCCCAGCTTCTCTGTGAACTCCTAAATATAAATGCCATTGTATAACATATGCTGTAACATATATTAGGATTACACATTTGAAATAACACAAATTGTTTAAATTACGTTTATTTTTGGGAATGGGCATACACATGCCATGGCATGCTTGTGGAAGTCAGAGATGACATGTGGGAGTCCATTCTCGCCTTCCACTGTTGGTTCTGGGGTCCAACTCAAGTTGTCGGGCTTGGTGGCAAATGTGTTTACTGGCTGAACCCTCTTGCCAGCCCCTGAAATCACATATTTGCCTATATGGAAATTGGTAGTTGGAAAACACAGCAAAACCATATTGCTAAATATCTTCCAGTTCATCCAATTAAATCTATTGGTTTCTAAAAAAAAAAAAAATACAACATGTTGTTAGGAGCTGTAGAGATAATTTATATTAACTTATGCAGAAATTGTTTCAAAGTTGCAGAATCTGGTGAGTGTGGTGGCTGTGCATGCCTGGAACCCTAGCTTTTGGAAAGCCCATGTGAGAGGCCTCAAGAAAGCAGCTACCTTGGGCAGCATATGAGTTCTAGGCTAGTATGAGACACAGTGAGAACCTCTTATCCCACACACACCCCACGCCAAAAAAGGGTGGAATTGAGGTGGCTCAGCCACTGAAGGTGTTTGCTGTCTGAGTTTCCTATCCAATATATACATACACCGCACAA